TAGGGGTGTGTCGGTTAATATGCAAATGAGTACCTGCTACAAAAAGAGCCCTGTAAAGGCATGCTGAACTGCTCACTCCAACACTCCCTCTCAACTCTGTATGCCGTCAGGGTTCACAACGTTCTGTGGCGAGGCGCTCACGTCAACAAAATGGCCCATCTGGTCCAACACTCTGTGTTAGACAGTGGCCAAAACCCAGGAGCCACCAGGAGGTCCACCAAGTGGGGGCAGAACTCCAGAAGTCCTCCCACCGTTGCCCCTTCAGACACCAAAAATACAGAGGATTACTGCCCCAGACAGAGTGGCTAAGAGCCACCGATGGACCTCTGCTCCAGGTGTTTGTCCAATCCCCTCTTGAAGCGGTCTGTGCTTGTAGCCGCCACCACGTCCTGTGACAATGAATTCCTCGTGTTAATGACTCTTTGGGTGAAGAAGGACTTCCTTTGATCTGTTCTGAGCCTACTGCTCGTTAATTTCATTGGGTGCCCACAAGGAACTGGAGCAGATGTGGCTGGAACACAGGGCTTGGCTGTAGACAGTGGACTGGGTGAAGTGCTCGGGGTGGGTAGCTGGAAGCATGCAGATAGGTGTAATTGCCCGTGGGATTTTGGTAAGAGGTGGCGCCTGTGTGTACCCTCACATAGTTCTACTTGGGTGCCCAGAAAATGGATCATGTCCAGGCTCAGGTGGATGGTGGGGTGTGTCCTGTGCTCTGTAGGCAGGGCCGGTCAGGTCTTCTTGAATGGTATCAGACCCTTGGCCCTAGCTAGGCTTGGCGAGCCAGAAATATTCGACTCACACTGGCGGACTGGTTGATCCAGCAAGCTTCCCCTCCCAGCCCAAGGATTAAATAGGCTGAAACAGCTCCCCCTGTTCTGAAAGCAACACCTGGGACCCATTGCCACCTGGCTTAACTGGGGCCAGGATCAATGTTCCCTCTAAGCTGTAGAATCTTGTGAGCAAAAATTCTACTTTGTGAGCTACTGGCATTAAAGCTGTGAGCAAGCGATTTGGCTGCTGCGTAAATTAGTTTGCCCTGGAGCCATCCTTCCTGAGCTAAGAGCAAAATGTGTGAGCCGGAGGCTAAAAAACTGTGAGCTAGCTCACACTAACTCAGCTTAGAGGGAACACTGGCCAGGATCCTGCAAAGGATTCTATCCACTGGAACCGTGGCCGGGCCCGGAGGGCGGGGGGGGGGGGGAGGCATAGGCTGCCAGCTTGTCTCCACCGGACTACCTCAGCATGAGTCCTCTGCTACGGCTGTGTAGAGATGGCTCCTGGTAGGCCAGTCCCGGGGGCAGTGCTTAGTTGCCTCAGGTACTGGGGCAACAGAGGGACGTTCTGGTGGAGGGGGATCTAAGGGCAGGCTCCTCAGGGGTTGCCTCTGGAACATGGCGTCATCTCTGCCATGCAGGGATCTCCCAGAGTTCCCTGCTCTTTCTTTCAGCTCCTCTGAGGCTTCTGAGTTGGGAGTCCAGAGCCAGCTCAGTGGGGGGCTAGGTTTGCCAACCTCCAGGTGGCGGCTGGAGATCCCCCGCTATCACAACCGATCTCCAGGTGACAGAGATCAGTCCACCTGGAGAAAATGGCCACGTTGCGAGTTGTTGTGGCAAAACCCTCCAACCCCCGCCCTCCTCAGGCACCACCCCCAAAACCTCCAGGTATTTCCCAACCCGGAGCTGGCGTTGAGCCAGTATCGTGTAGTGGCTAGAGTGCTGGATTCGAATCTTGGAGACCTGGGTCTGGTTCCCTGCTTTCTGGAAGACCTTGGCCTTGAATTCTTTCTCAGCCTCACTTACAAGCAGGAGTCCAGCAGCACCTTAAAGACGTAACAAAATTGGTGGCAGGGGATGAGCGTTCGTGAGTCACGGCTCATTTCTTCAGTATCTGAAGAAGCAGCGACTCCATGAAACCTCCTCCCCCTGCCACCAATTTCGTTAGTCTTTAAAGTGCTACTGGACTCTTGGCTCCTTTCTACTGCTACAGACAGACTTAACACGGCTACCGGTCTTGATTTACCTCACAAGGTTGTTGTGAGGAAACAATGGAGGCGAGGAGAATGATGTGAGCTTTTTATTTCTCAGCTAGTGAAAGGTGGGCAAGCAGACAGTGTTGGACTTCAGGTAAGAAGAGAATTCTGGGCCCATAGACCTAGAAAATTGAGAAACTGAAATAAAAATTGAGTTCTGTATTTGTATTCCGCACTGATTGTAAGAACATAAGAATATAAGAGAAGCCAGTGTTGGATCAGGCCAATGGCCCATCCAGTCCAACACTCTGTCACACAGTGGCCAAAAATACCCGGTGCCATCAGGAGGTCCAGCAGTGGGGCCAGGACACTAGGAGCCCTCCCACTGCTGCCCCCCCCCGCACCAAGAATACAGAGAGCATCACTTGCCCCAGCCTGAGAGTT